CCCCAAAACCCCAAAACCCCAAAACCCCAAAACCCCTTAAAACATTTTTCTTAAAATACTTTGAATGGTTAAATTAACAATTTATAGCATTTTATTATCTGCTTAAATATATTTATATATTAGTATTAATGGAAACTTCAGCAAAATGTCTGTCGCTGAGCAAAAGGCACATTACCAGCTTGGAGTTATTTTATAAGAAATTCACTTAGGAGGTAAATTAATATTATACAAGTCTCATTTCTTATTCAGATAGAAAATCAATCTCCTGACATAGATGTCAATAAACATTAATATAAGATCTTTGATATGATAAGGAATTATCTTAACTGTGATGATATGGAGATAGTATTATAGCATTTATTTGATTAGGGCTTCAGATTCAACCATATCAGCCTTGTATTCAATTTAATAATCACCACATTTATAGTCAGCTAATCTCATAGACAGAGTTCCACTACTTAATAGATCGCTAGAGTAATAGACTTTTCAAAGCTAAGTGAGAATATTAGCATTGAACAGAAATTTTATTAAATCCATCTCATTATCTAATATAATAAGCACATTCCCACTGATAGAGAGTAATAAATTTCCTATCTTTTTCTATATTTATATCCCTATAGTAATTGATTTGAGTCTGAATAAAATATCTGCTCTAGAGGAGAATTAGATTGCTGATTAATAGATTGTTGAATGCACAACACTTTAAAGGTATGCATAAATTAAAGTCATAGTTCTATAGAATAAGCCTTTCAAGCAATGAAATTAGGAATTTAGATGAATTAAAATCATTTAGGTTGCCAAATTTAAAGCTATTTACTATTTTTGGCAATAAATTAGGGGAGGAGCAAGAGTCAGAATATAGAGTGAGCTAAGATTTAGCAAAGGCACATTTATAGAATATGCTTGCCGTTATGAAGTAGACTTCCTCCAAACTTGAAAAGATTTTGATTGAAGGAAACCCTCTTACTACATATATAGACAAGAAAGATGTTATTAGAATTGCTGTTGAAATAATTGGTGACTCCCTATAAGTAGTTGATAATTAGAGTGTTTAGTGATTTATGCGATTTTCATAAATTGATTAATTAATATTGAATGATAGCTTTCCTAAAATTTATCAGTACTACTCATTGCGGGGTTTTGGGGTTTTGGGGTTTTGGGGTTTTGGGGTTTTGGGG